ACTCACTGAAACAGCAAAGAAGCAGTGGAAATTTCTTTTTTTTTTGACGTAAACCAACTTGAACTTGTTGAGCCACATGTTTCTTCATTTTGTTGTTTGCTGCTTTTGTAAAATTCTGCATTTTTAATTACACTTCTGCTTTTACTAGCTTCTCTGTTGTGCATTACTTTATGCTTTTTTGTTTTTATTTTTATTCACTGTAAACCACGGCTTCACGGGGCTTATTGCTTTATTGTACCAGTGTTATTTTAGTATCATTGATATACCATTATAATTTTTGTTAATATTTTGAAGTAGATATTATTTTTATATTGTCTGTTTTTATTTTAATTTTAGTTATGGTTTTAGCAATTTTGTTTGTTAGTTTTTTTCTAAGTATGTCTGTTTATTTAGTTTTAGTCTTTAGTCATTTTAGTACTTAAACTAAACAAAAATGAAAAAATTTTGCCGTGGCAACTAGCTGAAATAAAATAAGTTTAAACATTTTTATATTTTATTTTATTTCAGTTCATGTTTATTTTATTTCAAGTAATACATTTTTTTTATTCATTGTTTTTATTTTATATTTTCAGTTGTAATTTTAATTGTAAAGTTTTAGTAATTTTATTGTGTTTTTGTCTTTTTTTTTTGTATGTGTGCATATTTTTTACTGTGTTTTTGTTATTTATTTATTTAAATAGGTCCATATTTTTTTATAAAGTTTCAGTTTTGAGTTTAAGTTTTAGTTTGAATTGCTGTAGTATTTGAAATTAAACTAAATATTGATTTGCATCTAGCTAAAATAGGTTTAAGATTTTTATATTTTATTTTATTGTATTGTATTTCAGTTAATGTTTATTTTTATTTGAAGTAATGACATTTTTATCATTTTAGTTTTATATTTTGTTTTTATATTTTCCTTTTTTAATTTTGGTTAAAGTTTTAGTAATTTTGTTGTGTGTTTTTGTCATTTTTTATATGTCTATATACATGTATATTATATGTGTCCCTGGAGCACAAAAGCAGTCTTCAGTCGCTGGGGTATATTTGTAGCAATAGCCAACAATACATTATTGATTTGTCTTTTATGCCAAAAATCATTAGGATATTAAGTAAAGATCATGTTCCATGAAGATATTTTGTAAATTTCCTACCGTAAATATATCAAAAATGTATTATCATTAGTAATATGCATCGCTAAGAACTTTCTGATTTTCTCAATATTTAGATTTTTTTGCACCCTCAGATTCCAGATTTTCAAATAGTTGGATCTCAGCCAAATATTGTCCGATCCTAACAAACCATACATCAGTGGAAAGATTATTATTCATCTTTCAGATGATGCATAAATCTCAATTAAAAAAAATTGACCCTTACGACTGGTTTTGTGGTCCAGGGACACATATGTCAATTATTAAGTTTTTGTTGTTGTTTTCATTTATTTAGTTTTATTTAGGCCACTCAAAATTCTAAATAATAATAAAAAAATATTATTGAACAAAAATAGATCACATTGATTTTCCTGGAAAAAAAAAGTTACATTTCAAGGCTTTTGACTGCGAAGCTAGCAAGTGTGACCCACAAATGAAGGGTCCAGAGGGTTCAAATCCCGATCATGTTTTACATGCATGTGTGAATGAATGCTGTTTCTGCTCCGCAGGCCTGGAGTCAGTTCACGGCCCGTCTGGAGGATTTCTCCCATCCTCAGCACCTGAGCTCCGCTCTGTCCTGCCTCAACCTGCTGGTGACCGACGCCCTCCGCCACGTCCCAGACGTCATCGCGTACCTCTCCGTCATTAGGTCAGACTGAGTTAGAGCTATCGGACTGCGCCATCTAGAGTTTCATGCCAGAACTCTGTATTTCACCGTCCTCCGTACTGCAGCCGTTTACTCCGGTAATTCTCATCTCCCCACAGATCCTGCAGAAGGTTTCCGTCACAGACCCGTCCCGGGAGAAGACTCTGTTTATCCTGAGTGTCATCCGTGAGAAGAGCCTGTCTTCAGCCGTGCTGTCGTCCCGCGCGCACCACATCTCTCCGGTCTACGTCTCGGCCGTCATGCTGTTAGCGGCGCTCAGCTGGCAGTATCTGAACGCCACGGCCGGGCAACCACCAGGGGGCGCAGACATGCAGGGACACTGAGACCACACCCTCCGACTGCCCAAAAACTGCCAGACCAAAATGCTTGAAAAAGGCATGAGTTTGGAATGTTTAGGTTTTTTTTTTCTATTTTGCTAAAATTTGTTCAGGTCATTTTCACCCCATAATCAAAAACATAAATATGAAAAAAATTATATATACACTACCGGTCAAAAGTTTGGGATCAGTAAGACTTGTAATGTTTTTAAAGAAGTCTCTTCTGCTCATCAAGGCTGCATTTATTTGATCAAAAATACAGAAAAAATACAGTAATCTTGCAAAATGTTATTACAATATAAAATAATGGTTTCTATTTTAATATCCTTTAAAATATAATTTATTTCTGTGATGCAAAGCTGAATTTTCAGCATCATTACTCCAGT